AAAGAGTGACAAGGGACTGCCACCAAATTCCAAGAAGCAAAGTCTGCCAAAGGAGCCCACACGAGCTGCCACCGCCACCTACAAGAATCTCCAGCATCATGACTCCATCAAGTACACCTTCTTAGATCTGAACTTGACCTCTGAAAACTGAGGTTGCCTCAGCTCTCTTCTGGCCAAGAGTCACCTGCCACTGGGAGCTCATTTTAAAGATTACCCTCAGGTCATCTTTGCCGCATTCTTCACTGTGAAAATAAAGCCCACGGAAGTCACACACACACACAAAAAGTTCATGAATGTGTATGCATTTATATTTTCAATCTAATATCTAAAATAATTCACAAATTTGAAAGTTTTCAAATTGTTTCAACCAGTTGCCAAAGAACTGAAAATTGCTAGCTTGAGAAATAACATCACGAACCTTGATAGTCTTTGCTTATCACTTAAATTTATCCGTGACCCAGCTGCTCCACCGCAAAGAGAAAGGAAAAGTCGCAGAACTAAATATCCCCAACCTCTCGCCATCCTGCTAAAAGGCTGAGCCTTGTGCGTACTCACCATAATTGGGGGTCACTGTGTAATAATAGACCACCTGATAATAATCGTCCTCTTCCAGTCCTTCTTCACCCTCATAATTTTGTCCTAAGGGGACAAGGACTAGAGGTCAAGGGGCATCTGGAACTCCTCAGCAACAGAATGACACCCGAGGCTGACCTCAACTCTATCAGTTGCCTTTCTCTCTGCCTCTCCTCCAAGGGCCAGGCTATCTCCCTGTCTCTGCACCCCTAAACCCTGCTCAGTCTTCTGGGCTCCACGTCTGTGATGTGGCCTGTTACTCTGTGCCCTTTCAATCCAGAAGTTCCCAGGACAGAAAACAGGTCCCTTCACATACTGTAAACTCAAAACAAGAATTAAACCTAAAAAGGTAGGAAGCAGAGAGAGACCAGAAATTATAAACTCTAAATCTACTATTCAGTATGCTCTGGACGAGTGGTCCCCAACCTTTTTGGCACCAGGGACCAGTGCTCCTACGGGAATCTAATGCCTGATGATCCGAGGTGGAGCTGAGGCAGTGATGCTGGAGCTGGGGAGCGGCTGCAGATACAGATGAAGCTTCAGTTTCGTGCTTGCCACTCACCTCCTGCTGTGTGGCCCAGTTCCTAATAGGCCATGGGCCGGTACCGGTCCTCGGCCTCGGGGTTGGGAACCCCTGCTCTACACCATACTGTATTTATGAGAGCTCTTCTCTTATTCATGTGTCTCTAACACACACAGACGAACACACACACAAACACAGTGTCTCTGTCTCTGTCTCTGTATCTCTCAGGCTTTTGGACTTGGGTTTCATTCCAATTTCCCTGCTAACTAGCAGAATAACTCTGCACAAGCCATTTAACATATGTTTTCTTAAAATGAGAGTCAGCTGGACTAAATGACCCATCTGCATTTGTTTTTCTTCATCTCCAGGACTAAAAATACAGGACTTTGACACGATTGGATCAAGAAGGCTAAGCCTCCTGCCGAACACTTCCCCAAGCTCCTTGAATGCGCTCCCTTAACTACAAGCAATGACACAAGAATCTGGAGGAAAAGGAAACAATGAGAGCACCTGGCAGACGAGGAACAAAGGGGGGAAGGAGCCAAGCTACTTTTTGGACCGGTCCCTGAAGGCAGCCAGTTCCTCACCTCCCTAGAGGTCACCCCCCACCCCCACACTTCTAGATCTTTACTAATACAAGGCTTTCTCTCTAGCTCCCGGGGAAAGAAGGTACCCTGACTTCCTTCACTAGTTTCAGACTGACCCACTTTCAAAGAGTCTGTTCTCTTTTTCACTCCCACTTGAGTCCCTCTCATCTCGTTCAGCTCCGTGGCGATGGAGAGCTGAGTTCTCTCTCGTTAGGTACTCCCCACAGCCGGCGCTCCATCCCCGTCAGGGGCCTCTTCTTTGACAGGACTCTGCTTTCCTCCCCCTTTTCTGGCTCTACTTTGCAGATCCCTCTCCGCCCCCAACACTGGACTCTGGCACAGATGAGAGTGTTATCACTCCCCACTGAACTGCACCCCTCACTCTCTCCTCGTTTTCTTCTCTCCCATCCCATTTATGGTAGTAGACGTGGCCCGAAAGCTTAGGGAGAAAAGGGAACTCACCCAGGATGAGTGGCACAGCAAGGATGGCTGCGAAGAGGACTTCCATTCCGGACCCTGCACTGCTGTGCAAGGAAGAAGAAGAAGGAACTGCAGCGTTTCCCACCGAAAGCACCCCGCCTCTGGCCCTCCTCCAAAGCAAGGAGGGAGCTTTTCTCTCAGGGAGTGGAATTCTCCTCCCATTCGCTGACTGACTAGATCATCAGTCACTACCGGTCTGGTCCTTTGGCCCGAGCTGCTCAGATTAAGAGGCAAAGTGGGTTTTGATGGGAACGGTTTGTTGAACCCTGGATTTGATCCATTCAGGATTCCCGCTGCCACTAACGGAAACAACAACAAACAAAAACACACCCCCAATCTCCCTGGACTACTAAGGAGGTTCTTATAGTAAGCCTCTCTCCTCCTCTCCTCCACGCCTTCCTTCTCTTCCAGTCCTCACAAAAAGCTCACCTTCCCTCTCACTGTCCCTGATTTACTATCACCATCCAGAGTTGCCCTTCTCTCTGAGGCCTAATCACAATCTCTTTCTTCACAGTTGAAATGTTCTGAGAAGGGACGAGCATTTTCTAGACTGAAAACAGTCCCTCTTCTCTGCCTGTCTGGACTGTGAAGTATAGGAACAATATCAACACCATTGTCTGGCTCTCGAAGCACCTGCTACATTGCTTCTGATAAAAATCTCTCAGCTAAGGCCAGTTATTTCCTCTCTAGTAAGTACTGACCTCACCTCACCTCTTTCTCCACTTTCTAGGCACCGGATGGAAGAAAGGAAAAAGCAGATGGTCTCTTT